ATATGCATGTTCCTAAAAAGCTTGTTTCCCCAAGCTGTTGGCACTGATGTTGTTCATCTTTGAGCTGCATGCAGGCCCCATATTTGGACTCGCATTTGAACAGTCTCTAATGACATGGTGGTGTTTGAATTAATATAGCTAGTGATACTACATCATAGACCAGATATGTGAATGACATAGTGTCAAACTAGTGTTGCTTTTTTGTATCTGTGGATGTGCTGGCTGGAACATACATCCAAATTTCCAACAATATCAACATGCAGAATTCTCACTATGAAATTCAAGATTTTGAAACCTGAAACTTTCTTTGTTGGTACTCTCATAAGCTGGTCTCACAAAGGGCAGGTGCTACTAAGTACTGTCACGGCTGACTGACTGAAATGAAATTTATGAAACTCATTGTAGGAGGCAGGCTAGCCCACAGCTGTCCGCATGTTCACAGAAATTAGGCTATGTCAAACAGGAGGTGCACTACATTTAAAGCAGTGAGCAGTGAATAGTCAGAAATGAGCATGGCTGGGAGGCTTCAATAGCAGTTATCAGACTCAGTTGAGGGCCTGGGGTACAGCCAAGGTCTCACAAGCATGCAGCTGCCCACTTACCATAAACACAAAGGCTCAGCATGGCTATGCATGGCAGCCAAGGAGGCCTACGTTTTAAAGCAGGCCTGCTGTTTAATTTTCTCATACATAATCACTTGCACTGTATACATTTGTCCAGAACAACGGCTTTGTGGATCTCTGTAATCAAGGCTTTCAACAAACTTGTCCAAGTTGGAGAGAAATGCTGTCCACTTGAATTCTAAATCTAGCCAAGTCACTTAATTACAGAGGCTTGAAGACACAACAACGACATTGGAATAGCATTGCATGTTAATGGACCAAAATAAGAATAAGGCACATTGAGTGGACATTATAATGCAGGGGAGAGACTACTCCTGGGGTTTACATGCAGGAATTTATCCAACCTAAACACTGCCTTCCCTCTGACTACATACCATGTAGTTCCAACATTGTCTCATGGAAGTGAACAATGCTGCAACAATGGCATTACAGTACACAGGATATTTACATATTGTTTAAGTCAAGTTCTGATAGGCAGTCACTCGTGTCCTTGAGCTAAAACTAAAAGTTTTTCAGAGGAGCTTGCCAACCCTCCAGGTGGATGCCTCTTAATTTTAGAAGAAAAGGCCCTGAAAACTGAGCTAGTCCAAGTTACCAACACAAACACTCCTTTAAACCCCTTTTCTAAAATCCTTTATGAAAGGGAAATGAGTCTGGCAAAGAAATTACTGTGATGGGAGCTCACAGAAGCAAACAGGATTATGACAGAAAGGCCACAAGCTGCTAATTGTGAAAAATAAATATTACACATGCATGTACAGAAAGTAAAAAATAAATACATCTGTACTTCAAGGACAAGTCATCTAATGTAACCCTAATAAATGATACAAGCCACCTATAAATTTTATCAGACCCAATTATAGCTACGGGACACAGCCAGTAGTTCAGGTTTAACAAGTTAACAAGTTCTTGTGTTTATGATCCCAACATCCACTTAAATTGCAGAATCTGTTGGACTGTGTATCAGCCAGTCCTGATTTCATACCTGAGGGTAAGGTTGGTAAGATAAAGATAAGAAAAACAGCATAGAGTGTAACTACACACGGATCTGAGAAATAGATGGGCCACCAATGTCCCACCAGCAAATAAATACCTGTAAAATGTATTTTAAAAGTCTTATACATTTGTCACTAACTAACCAACACTGACTTCTTTTGCAATGCGTGAGGGAAAATCCAGTATGAGATCAGAATGTCTGGACTTCAAAGTTTCACACACGGTCACTTTACAAATGTATGTGGATGAATTTATACTTACTGTCAAAAATGCTGAGTGGATGAATGGACAAACTTACTATTATATTTTTTTATATAATTATTATAAGTCCCTACAACATTTAATCATAAATTATAGTGACAAAACATAAATATAATAAGCGGCAGAAGACAAAATCATTCACAGTAGAATTTATGCAAGTAATAACCTAGGCAAAACACAAAAAGGGCATGGCTAAGGCAGTACACAAGAGGAAAAGTTGCTAAGCTAACTAACTACTACTTTTAGCTATGTTTTGTTTTCACCGACAACACTTTGCTGGGAGTTACTTCTAATGTGTCACCATAAATATTACATTAACAGAAACCACGCACTTTCAAAACACAGAGGAACATCGCACCTCACTCTTTATGACATAGTAGTAACAGATTCAAAGTTAGCTAAGCCAGAAAGTTTTTTTAGACTAAAAACTGCCACTCACAATCATCACGGTGAGCGTCTCGTATCTTCAACAACCACCGGGCAACTGGTTAGTTTCGGTTGACCGTGTTGAGTTTTGTTTTACTAAAGAAAAAAAAAGAACAGGAAGCTTACTTCAGCTCAAGGCAGCTCCTGCAGACTACAACATTAACCCAGTGCTCTACTGTCCAACAAGACTGCACGCTAATGAGCCTGTGACAACATACGCGAGCCGTACCACTTTGGGTAGGTGCGAGGGGTGTCCCACGAGATATTTATGCTACAATTCTTTGTAGTTTTCTCATATTCTTTGCGTTTCTTTAGTTTATTTATACCTCATACACAATTCAGTCGAAGCTTGTTATGGTAGAAATGAAAATATTATCCTCTGATGTTTTTTGTAAAAGAGACCACCCCGCGCCTACAACTAATGGTCTGAGCAACCCTGTTGTAATGAAAAGCAATCACAGTTTTGATCTGAGCATATAGACAGGGTACTTTCACAATACACAGCAGTGTAACATGATAACCTACCGAGTGCGTGTGACTTACAGACAGGGTGAGGGAGTAAAATGCATGTTCTATATACATAGCTTGTTCCACCTTACATTATCAGTTCCAGTACAGCACAGGCCAATCCTGAATAAATAGATTTATTGCAAGCAGATGTTCTTCCAGGAACTAAATTCAGTCTTTATCATGACCTACAGCAGCAAAGCCATACAAGTTTAGCTTTTCATATATGCACACACAAACGCTGTGCAGCTGGTGTATATGTGGTAACCTGCACACAATATTTGCTTGCCTTCTAACTTCTTAAACATATAAAACAGATGTGTGCTTGTGGTCGTTGTACACTTTTATCTGTTTATTTAAACAAGTATTTTTACAAGAGGTGGATATTTCACCTTAAAGTTGGTTTAGCTCACTGTTTGTTTAAATATGGGTCCACTGGATGAGCCAGTGGCAATTCAATTCATTAAGTCCATGCTTTTTCTATGCATTGTTAAAGGACTGCAAATTATCATCCCTGTCCCATAACATTATGTACAGCAAATCAATATATTTCCTAGGAGCTGGAATTAATATAGTGGGCCTCAGAAGGGTGGGGAGCTGAGGCTCACCCCTGGCAGACACTATTGTTAATCAAGGAGTAACATCTGTTGTGTGCCTCTAATCTCCCCCAGACTGTCAGGCTGTCCTCCTCGGTTTTAGACTGTCTGCCTTTTGTGTTAAAGGGCACCCAGGATTTGTCTCTTCTACTATCCGGGCTAGAGTTTTGGGGTTTTTCACAAAATCCCTATAGAGAAGGTATTTAGCAAACAGATAATAAGACAAACTTTTGGCTTTTCTGTTTCATAGCATTAAAAGTCACTCTTCAGGAAGAAAGTACCTTGCAGAACAGGGGTGGAAGTCTTCCTGTTCAACAGGTTTGCTAGTGTGTGTTGTGACTGTCACAACCAGGGGGCAGTATGCACCAATTATAGTGTAGGAAAACGCTACAAAAAGTAACCTGGAGTGTGCTTGCTGATGTAGCTACAAATTATGGTATTTTTGCATATTTCTTTATGATTTTTGTTAATAAATCTGTAGCTAGCATATGGTTAACAGTAAATTGGGAGTTATCTTCCAGCTCCATTTACTGAGACCCCATGCAGAATGCTATACGCCATCTGGGGTTCACACTGTGGCTGGAGACAGATGGCTAAAAGACTCCTGTTACAGGAGCCATCCCTTCTCAACTTTAATGAACAGTTAATCCTCTCTATCACACAGCATAATTTCCTATTATATCAGATAATTCGAAACAAATGCAATTAAAATTAAACTTTAGAAACCCGTACCATAGCACAGCCCAGTTCCAGTGGTGAATGAAGAAAGGGGAGTGCATCTATTTTGTATGTGCTGCTTGGGTTTGCTTGTTATGTAATCGAAAAACATAAATCCTTAATACAGAATCAACATTTTTAAAATGCAGTTTGCCTGAGCAGGTGACCCCTGATTAAAGGAAAAACACTGACACCATTTGTCAAAATGCGGAAGTACATTCATTTCATAAATTGCCTGTTGCTGAGTTTTTATGTTTTGTTTTGTTTTTACAGTGACTCTCTGGCGTACTCAGTAGGATACTGTAACTACAGACAGGGCATAAAAAGAACATATGGCTTTCATGGAAGTCCATTAAACTTCACTGCTTCTCATCTATCCCACTAATCCTCACCCATAATGTTTATAGCCAAGTTAATTGAACTGGCACATCTCTGTGGGATTGGAGATCCCTTCTAAGAGGTTCTAAAGCCACTTTTTTTTTTTGCCAAAGCATGCACATTGCTAAAACCACCGCGGCTTCTGAAAGAGGTGCAGCTGTTTGACCAGTAACAGTTCTTTAAGTGACTGTGTGGGTGGGTTATTTATGGGGAAAAAAAGTGCCAAATAGCCTAGTTTAATTTTCCACCAACATAATGCTTACATAATGAAGTGAACAACAAATAATAGTTTGGGATACATTTCTACATTACGAGCCAATGAAGTGGACACTTTTCCTCTTTTTCTCATATGGACAGTGACTTTGACTGAGTAATGCTAATGCAATAAATCAATTAATAATACCTTAGTATAAAATGTAAAAAAAAAATAAAGAAATATTTCTCACTTTTCCTGCATTCATAACTATGAGCATTATAGTAAGCAAATGCACTTAAATGTTTTAAGTGAAAATACTTTAATATACAGTGTTATTATAGCACAGTATGCATTAAAAAAAGCACACTATCCTTGATGCATTAGCAAGCTTTCAGTCTTCTAGCAGCTTGAGCTTGTTGCGCATACTTCATTGAGTATATGTGGAAGTGGTGTTCAGACACTTTACATACATATACTGCATTAACAATGAAGAACAAGCCACTGCACCCAAAAGCATTGCAAAGTAAAAGTACCGCATGCAAGTGCTACTATCAAAATATAATGTAAGTAACTGTAAGTTCCATTATCTTTGACAATTACTAAAATGCACTGGCTATTGTCAGTGTTTGTCTAGGAAGGTCTAAGAGGTTTAAAGTGTGCTTATTCTGAAGTTTGGCCCACACAAGAAGAAAAACGGAGCACAATATTTTGAAGCCAGCAATTGATTTTCACAGTTTACTGTGAGTCAAGTTTATTGAGGTTACTCTGGAGCAATGTGGTTTACTTTGAGACAGTGAAAACAAAGACATTCTTTTACTCCTACAGCAAGTGTCTTTTGTTGTATCATTTTAAGTGCAGAACACAGCACCCATTTCAACAGATATGAATGCATTATATAATAAGTAATGTGTCATCAGTGCAACGAGGGACTTTTTAGAGAGTAATTTAAATATTTCATATGTTTTTCAGTAAATAGTGCAGCCACATGAAATAAAATAACCTGTTATAGAAATGTTTGGAGTGGCTAACTAAGAGCAGTTTGTGCAGTTTTTGAGGATCCCTGAGGTTCTTGACGATCCACCCTCTCATTTTCCATGTACGCCTGCACCGACCGCCACAGTGCCTTGATGTTCCCCTCGCCAAATCCCGTTGCCCCTCTTCGCTCAATCAGCTCGAGAAAGAAGGTGTTCTCAGCGAATATGGGCTTGGTGAACACCTGTAGAAGATGTCTGAAAGGGGAAAAGCAGCACAGTAGATTCGCTTTCAGCCTCGGGACTGTTTCCACAACTTTTCATTGGTGAATACAAAAATAAAGAATAAAAAATTGTGGTGCGTGTCTTTCATCATTATTGCAGCAATTTTAAACGAAGTCAAGCAGTTTTCATGTGTATGTTGCAAGTTAAACGGGCTTCTGTAATTGTACTGAATAGTAAAACAGGAACATGTCCTCATTTTAATAGAGATGACTGATAAGATTGCTTGCTGACATTGAGCAGCCATACATCCCACAAAACTTTCAGTGTTTCACTTATTTAATAAGATATTGCCGAAGATAGTATTTAAACATTTTGCTTTGTTTTTATAAAAATGCAGAAGGACTAAACCTTCACAAACTGTTTTTTTTCTCGTTTTGTAGAGAAAGGTGGTTAAAAAGAAACCATTGACTAAAACAATTTACAAGAGAGCGATTACAACTCTTGATTGGCTCTTACCTTTTACTTTCACTGGATGCTCTCTGTGATAAAGGATCCTGGTGCAGGTCTGTATCCAGGAGAATCCCATGCTGTGCTAGCATCTGGGGGCTGTGACCTGCTTCCTCTATTTCCTGCTGTTTTCCCAGCTGCCACAGCGCATGGGATGGGTTTAAAAAGATGGAAAATTCCTTTATTTTTGAACTTATTACAAAGTCTGTAATTATAGTGTTTGCTCCTGTGATTACTGGTACAAAGCAGACCCTGTTCTCCTTCTGTGTGGTGATGGCATAACCTTGAAAAGTGTGATAATGACTTGGATTATGTGTTCTAGTGGGAGAGGTTTGCCTTCAAAGCCCTCTTTTCTTTGATATCGTTTTCAGCCTTAAGTCACAGTTCAGCTAGGTTTTAGGCATAACTACTTTGTTAAGTGTGGTAATATATCATGGTTTGGATCAAAATGTACCCTTTTAACAAGATCTGAAAAATCTCCGAAAGCCTGCCTTGCAGGAAGTATGAGGACAAACTTCTCCCGAATTCCCAAAATTTAAAAATCCAGGCCAGCTATGTAAATTAAACAGAACTATAATGTGGTAATATGAATAAAACACAGGTCGCTTCTTGCAGTGATTATAGTTCAAAATCATTCAAACCTGAGTGTAATAGGCTGGAGGAGGGGAGGAAAATTGTACGCCAGCTTCAGCCATCGTGTGCGCAGTAGAAACAATGTTTTTGGTGTACAGCCCAATGTGCTGGATCCCTGGGGCCCTATGCTGCTCCAAGAAGGTGTCAACCTGGTTCCGGCCTGACAAAGCAAATGCAAACAATGATGGTGGAGATCATAAATAGTGGCTTAAATTAGAAACTAGGGGTTTCTATTACCTTGTTCGGGCAGTGATTCCGCAATGACAAACTTGCAGTCAGGCTCCTTTTTGCCAGCAAAAGGAAGAGCGATGCCTGCTTTGCTGCACTTCCAGTACTCCATGGCAGTAAGTCGAAGCCCAATGCCTTCCTGGTTTATCACAAAACCTTCATCCACGTCTTCATTACTATTCAGGAGAACAAACAGCCTTGAGATTACTGACACCACACTGGGGGAAAAGATATGACAACAAATGCCTCGGAACAGTTTCTCACCTATCAATGAAAAACCTCTGAAAACCAAAGACCTTCTCGTACCATCCCATGACCTGGTGGGTTGTCTTCCTGGGGCAGGCATAAGTTATGTGATCAAAGTGTGTGACAGGACAAGACATGTCCTCTTCTTCCAAGCTCCAGTCCTTTTCAATGACATCAAACCCTGGCAAAAAGACTCCCTCATAGTTTGTCTTCTCAATTAGCGTGTGACACACGTTTCCCACAATTGATTTTACTACCGAGTAGGTGACAGGACCATTCACGTCCTTAACGGTGGTGGGAGGCACCAAGAAATTACAGTCCAGATCGCGAAGAACCTTGAATGACCTTTGGACATCCTCTACCTCGAAACACACGTTGTTTACAGTATCCACCGGATGAAGAGGGCTTAAATCATAAAGACATCCCAAAGAATTATTACCCTGCTTGTACTTCTCCAAGTCAGCCCGCTGTGGATCAATGGAGTATCTGTCAGCTAATCCCAGTATCCCTTCATTCAGTCCCACTCTGCTCTTACTGGGGCTCTCATTTACGACGAAAACTGCTGCTCCTTTCCTGAAAGCAAACTGCTTGGACTTGTCAGTTAATCTGGCAGCAAATAAATCAAACTTGAATTTAGAGACAAGGTCATTAGCTATTTTCTCCGCGTTAGAAACGTGGAGCGAAACGTGGTGTAACCGGCTCAAGAAAACAGCCATGTTTTCAGTGACGTTTTGAAAGGGGCGTGTCCAGAGAAAGCGGAACCCTTGATTCATAACCGAAAAGCCTATTTTTTCAGTTATATCAGCATATACTTAACGCTTTTTCTATTCTTCACAGCTAGTTCAGAATTTAATTGGAATGTATTCAAAATATAATTTAAGAAATTAAACAATTTACAGACTCACCGTGGTTTCTATGCTGCTTATAAATATCGGATTTAATATCCATACGGATAATGTCATATTTATGTAATCCAGTTTTCTATCCCAATCTTTGGGGACATCTTTGGGGATGTGTAAACTATCCAATCGCAAATGTCTTAGCATGACTAACATCAACATGTTTTTGTCTAGTGCAATGTGCCTAAAAATCGACAAAATATGCAAAGTGTTTCAGCGACGTGGTTATCAACTCTTTCTGCGTCCTAAAAATTAAACCTCCCAGGGCGTTTAGACTGTTCCGGACGTTCCTGAAGGCAACACAGTACTTTACCTTTGTCCAATCACGTTGAGAACTCAGCCAGATGATTGGTGACGGAGGCAGGCCAGCGTTTATTTTGGCTCTGCTACTCATTTGTCTCGCTGTCGCCGCCATTAAACAACACGGAGGCAATGTAAACCACGGAGAGTCGCGGATTTAAACGATGATTCGAGGTGTTCCAGGCTTTGCCGGGGATTGCTTTGTTCCGCCAGTGGTTAACGAGTCCATGAAGGTAAACATGTGAGAGGGCAGAGGAGTCGAAATCATTCGGATTGGGAAAGGTTTGATTGAGCCGGAGGAGGAGGAGAGGAGGGGAGGAGGGGGAGTGAACGAGAAGGGTTTGTTGTGGTTTTCGGCGGCGCAGTGCAGTCACGAAACGGTAAGATTATCACATTTTTCTTCGCATGAATGAAATTATGACATTTTCCATGACTGTATGCTCCGTCGTGCGCGTTAACCGTTGGATTTGATGGCAGCTAGCTCTATATATGCTAGGAGCTTAGCTCAGTAGCTAGCAAGCTAAAGCTAAAGACTAAAAACATAACTGCAGAGTAACGCAATAGTGTCTTTAGTCAGATGAGTTAAAAGCGCGCTGTTAACCATTCTTCTTAAAGTTACGGATTATTCAGGCTTAAAATCAAACACTCTAAAATGTAATCTTGCCAGTGTGTCATTGAATGTGCCCGATCAGATGCAGGTTAGTTTACAAACTGTTGGAGCATATGCTGGTCGGAATTCTTATATCTTAACACAATGGTTTGTAATACCTGTTTATTCGAGATTATTCTCAGAGCTATTGTTTATGTCTCAACTCTAACGGGATTTTTCACAACAGTGCATCCAACTAAAGTAGTCCACAATGACGGAGCAGAGGATAAAGTGGGCCTGTGACTACTGCACCTATGAAAACTGGCCATCTGCAATCAAATGTACTATGTGCCGTGCACCGAGGTTGAGGGGACCCATTATTACAGAGGAACCTTACAAAAACAGTCCTGATCTGGACCCCGGGCTGGAGTGGGAGCCTTCTAGAAGTGAAGGTGGGAGCAGCCTCCTCATCTGTCCTGATTCCAGTGCCAGGCCTAGAGTCAGGTCACCCAGTATGGCTGAGATTGCCAATAAGTGGTCCTGCCAGATGTGCACCTATCTGAACTGGCCTCGTGCCATCCGTTGCACACAGTGCCTCTGTCAGCGCCCGAGGACCAGCAGCCCCACTGAGTCCCCACAGACGTCAGGCTCCAATGCAGGTTGCCGCCCTGCTCTCCACTCTCCTGTGGATACCTGTGAGGAGTATAATGACAGAAACAGACTCAACACCCACCAGCAGCACTGGACATGTACCGCCTGCACTTACCAGAACTGGCCCAGAACTACAAAATGTGTGGTGTGTGACCTCCCCAGGCCCAACAACCAAGAAGCCATAGAGCTGGCCGAGTCTGCGGAGCCCTCACCCGTAATCAACGAGCAAGACAGGGCTCGGTGGAGGGGCAGTTGCAGCGAAGGCCAGGGGCAAAGGAGATCCCCTCCTATGCCCAAGAGGGAAGATCATGTCACTATGGATTTCCAGAGGATAGAGCTTGCAGCTGGAGCCATGAGCAAAGAGGAACAAGAAGTCGACTTCAAGAGGTTAAAGCAGATTAGGAACCGAATGAAGAAAACTGACTGGCTGTTTCTTAGTGCATGTGCTGGTGAGTTTTTTTTTCCCTTTCTACATTACATGTAATTTCTGCATGGATTAGGAGATCAGTTGGTTCATAGCAAATGTATGATGTGAAAATGTGCTTGTTTCTTAATTTTGTTTAAAAAGAATACACTCCCCTATGTCATGTTTTTCTTATAACAACACTTTTTTTGTGTGTGTCTGTGATGTCATGCTAAGCGACAGCAAAGCATTGTACTCCAGACAGAGGTGGCAGTTATTGCCCCCAAGGCAACACATTTTCTGTGTTATTAGATTGCAGATGGTGCATCACTCTGCAAAGTGCCAAGGTTGCACAGCACTAAGAGCCACTTTGTATTTTATAAATGAGTGACGGCATGACTCATTGTTTAGTCTCCAAATATTAGAGTACAGAAGAAATTCCTGCTGTGTTATTTCATAGGGCGGTGCTATCAGGTAAAGACTGCTGACTGCAATGAAAAAAACATAAAATGTGGTAAAAGGGAAAGTAGGAATTTGGTCCAACTCACCACTGATGTTCCCAGTGCTTTTACTTGGGCTCTGAGAGCATCTTTGAGCAACTGAGAGGGTGTGAGTGCTTCCCAGCTGGTGGGGATGAATGGGCCGTCTGGGCAGCGTAGTGCAAGTGCAGCCCATGGAGCAGAGAGTCTCCTGGCTCACAGTCAATAGACCCTGTAAACAGTGGCGCGTATGTGCTGAACAGGGCCCCCCAAGAGGTAAAAATAACATTGACAGGACATTAAAAACAGTCAACAAAAAACAGAAGGAAAAAAACATGAGTGCAGCACATGATCAATGCCCCCTTGACCTTTGCACTGATTGAACTTGGCAGTATTTTTTTTTTTTTTGTCGTTTTCTTTTTTTCCCCTCTCCCTACCCCTGTCCTTAAAGACATGGGAAGACTCATGTATTAACTGTAAATATGGCTTTGCCTTTTTTTCCTTTTCTTCTTCTTCATACCATGTCTCTGACTCTTTACGGTTATACCGCATGTGCTCTTCAAAGTGTTTGTCAGTGGAGGAAGTGCCTGAGTCGAGTATGTTATGGCCAAGCACTTCCTCAGGTCTGAAAACACAATCTCACTTCACTTTACTGTGTTCCTGCAGTTCTACTTTAACGTTTTTTGTGCTCCGTACAAGAGCCAAAATCAGATGATTCCCATCGATTGTGCTTTCCCACAAAAGGAAGCGGACATGTTTTTGTATTATGGTTCTTTTGTTTCAGTGAAAACCCTAACTGGTGTCTCTTGCTGTTGCCGCTCTGTTTATATTTTGATGCTGTTCCTGATAATGTGGTGTGGGAGAAAAAAACATTATCAAGGACCTCTGTTTGTTTTGCTTTCAGAAGATTAAATTAATCTCGACGATGAACTGAATTTTTCAGGTGATTCAAAAAAATGCAAGCCCACCACTTTGTAGTACTTATGGTGAGAGATATCGAGAAACAAACACAAACAGACATTGATTTCATTTGTTCCAGCGCATTACTTTTAGATAACCATAGGTTACTGTGGAGCAGCTGATTGAGAAACGATGTCAGACTGTGTATTTGTTAAGCGCAGACCAATATTAGCTCAAAGTCTTTCACAACCTGCATGATGTGCATTGATCAGACTGTAGGCACTGCTGGGATCAGACATGCTCTCATGAAGCTGACCTTGTCAAGCATGCAAAGGCAAAATATTCTGACATGTTAGTTCACTGAGGGCGTAATGAGGCGTTCTAGTTGGGATAAAACCACAAACCATCGTGCCTAAAGACCTCTATGACCCATCTCTGTGTGATTGGGTCATTATGGGGACTAATATTACATATCCTAATCTTTTAATGGGTTGCAGTTGCTAAAACTTAAATGTCTTCATTTACATTAAATGAAAGTACCCATACTGTGCTCCGAAAGATAAAATACTGGTCAAGAAATCTGGTTTGCACTAATGCTTGCTCACCATATCAATGCAGATTACTTGACCATCCAATTACTTGTTTCTCGGTTGTCAGAAAGTCTTCAGAACTTATCTTTTATTGCTTTTGTTTTATATTACTAAGTTTGGTATGAGTCACACAAGAAAGGTCTTTTGTTGCAAACCTAGCTGCCTTAACCAGTAGGGTATCTCTCCATCTATCCATTCCCGTTTATCAGGGACTTGATGCAGCAGTCTAATCAGTGATGTCATGGGAGACAGCCAGGTGAGAAACGTAATCTCTCCTGCATGTCTTAGGATTGCACTGGGTCTCCTCCCAGTTGGATATGCTAGAATCCTCTCAACTAAGAGCCATCCAGGAGGTATCATAGTCAACTGCCTGAACACTGACCCTCTTTCGAACTGCCATTCTCGTCATCCTATCTCTAAGGGTACACTAGTTGCAGATTGCTGATAAAAGCAGCGGAAATGAGCAATCACTTCTTTTGGGTCACTACCCAGAGCTCACGGCCACAGGGAAGGGTCGACCAGTAAATCAACAGCTTCAGCTTGACGCTGAGCTCACTCTTCACCACAACAAACTGGTTACAGCATGCACATCAGTGCAGATGCCGTCAGTCTCCCACTCCACTCTTCCTCCGGTTGCAAACAAGATCCAGTGATACTTGAACCCCATGAACTACCACTGTTTTTTGCGTGACATTTGTGCTGTTGCGTCAGGGAGTAAGTAAATTTGTCTTGGGTCGGGTACCAGACTGCTATGATGATGATAACAAGAATTTAAGGATCCTAGCTATCATCTTGGTGAAACCTCCTTGGTCGATCGCACTGCAGTGCATGCTTTATTGGGAATCACTGTTTAAAAATGTAGTGTGCTGCTAGTAGTTCAGCATGTAACCACATGCTTGGGTAACAAAATATTGAACGAAGAGAAAGCATTAAGCTGGCCGATGGAAATGTTTTTTAAGTTCATCACGTTTTAGTGCGGGTCTTTCATATTCTGTGAGGCAGCCCACATTAAGTGTACTGCCTCACTTGAGCACACTTGATGTTGGCCCTCTATTAATGGTAATGGTTTGGAAGAACAGAGCCCAGACAAAGGTTTACGGTTTGTTTATCTGAGTCTAAATTTAGCAAAACAGCCTGTATTCACTGAAAACGGGTCATCGCATTCTTGAGTTCCTTTGAGGTCTCCCGCATAGCAACAGCTATTGCAACTCAAATCATTCTGCATGTATTTATAGATCTGTTTGCAAAATGTCACCCAGTATGTGTAAAATGAGAAGGGCCATGCTTGGAATGTTTTAGATCCAGATTCACTCAACTGTCCTCTTCCCAGCCTGAGAGAACATCCTGATGTAAGGCAGCCAGTTTAAATAAAGCAGCTCTTCCAGTGTCCTGTTTACTACCTAGCTGTTTCACTCATAACAGATGTTGAGACTAGTAGGTTCAACACGGACTGTCTTATGTGTTATACAGCTCTCTGATAGCTCTACATTACAGCTACACTGCTCTGTCTGTTCTGCTATGTAGTAGCCCGACAGTGTGATAACTGTTCTTTCACTCGGTTAGCTCGTGGCTACATCTAAAGGTCATCAGAGCTGTCGATTGACGTCAAGGCCCTATTAAATTTTTTCCTCTAGTTGAATTTGTTTTACAAATTTCTCCGAGGTTTTAATAATAATAAATTGTGACTTGCGATGTTGTATTAGCACATTTAAAGCTGTCTGTTACATCTTGCTTCTGCTACAAGAACAGACATGGGGATTGAAGCTGCTCCAAAAATGTATCTAAAACAATTTTAAAATGGATTTTAATGGGTTTTTTTTGCCCATACATGTATGTTCTTTTGATTATCTTTTGAATACACTCAGTTGCTTGTTTCAGTATGCCTAAGTAATACTAATCCAATCTTATCAAATTACTATAGCAAAGTAATAAAGGCTACATTGCAGATGGGTTATGATGTTTACAAAGGTGTTGGAATTTTTATGGTCAGCTCTGAGGTTGGACTTGTAGTGCTGTTAAATGGCTTGTGTTGTATCATTTAGTCTTCCCTATATCGATGGACCGGACTTGAATGTGTATGTCATGTGATGACATAAATGGCCGACTATGTTTACATGAGTCACTCTATTAAAGTTTGGTAGCCTCGCTACACAAAATCCTAGAAAAGAAGCCGTGTCAGCAATATTTAGGCACTGATTCATCACTTGTAACAGTTGTTTTCCATTATTTTTCCTTTTTATTTTTTTTTAACCTTCCTTCCTTCCTTCCTCTCCTGCAGGCGTTGTGGAGGGAGACCTGGCGGCAGTAGAAGCTTATAAGTCATCCGGTGGCGACATTGCCCGACAGCTCACTGCAGACGAGGTGCAGCTCCTTAATCGGTCCTCAGCTTTTGATGTAGGCTTCACTCTGGTTCATCTGGCTATTCGCTTTCAAAGGCAGGACATGCTCGCCATTCTGCTAACAGAGGTAAGCATAGTCTTAAATCTTTGAGTAAAAATTTGCCATAAGTTTTGCCCTTTTATTATTAAACGTATGTTTTTTAATTATAAAAAAAAAACAAAACAAGTTTCTGCATACAAGCAGAAAAGAACAGGAAGCGACTGGATTAGTCAGTTTGAGAATTGAATCTTAAGAGGATTTATGTCAGTTTTTATAAAAAGATCCTAAAAATTCTAACATGCCTGTAAAGTCTCTTTATGTTACAGAAACTGTTCATTTTTAAGTGCTTTTTTTTGTATTTCTCATTATCAGCCACAACAGCTTATAATTGCTCCTTACCAAGTGTACTATATAATGAAAAATAATGCTCTTAATGCATAGAATTACAGCGGAAAAGCACTTTTTGTGAATTGGGGGGGGGTATTAGAATTGCTGCTATTCTGTCATTGTTTCTTATGGGGCATGATAACAGAGTTGATGTGGTTTCGGAGAGCAAACAGTGATTAGGAAAAGGCACAGGAAGCATGTTGGCAAGCATAGAAAGGCAGGTCTTTACTATGCATGGGAGAGTTTGATCCCCAGTATGACAAATGCTTGGGTGGGTAAGGTGGACCAACTTCCTCTTTTGTGCTGCGTGAAATGCACAGGAACCATGTCTCGACACGGTATGGGTTTGTGTCAAGGATCTCGTCTCTGTTTGAGAAAATTCACTAATACTACTAAAACTGGAATTGACAATTCAAACAAAATTGTGAGCAAGAGAAGACAACACAGTGTATCCGAGTGCACAGGATGGCAGCGCATTCACTCTCGGCATGCAGTGTGGGTGAATACAATGCTTCTGTTTAATAGAATTGGCACTGTGCCTGCCCAGCTTTTGATGCTAACCCTCCTGGCGTGCTGCAGCTGATGGACAACATCTGGCGCGCTACCATAATGTCGTGGGTGGAGCTTGCGGTTTTGAATTTTCATTTTGGGAGGGCAAGCATTTAGCATAACAAATCTTTTGGGGTAGTACATTTGCAGACATATCTTAAGTGTAGATAAGTTCGCTTAGTTTTAGTTATATAGTCCAAAGTTCACAAATTCATTTAATCTTTTAATTTCATTGTAAAATAAAAATGGTTAATCTATGTGCATGTCTACAAGGTGAGCCAGCAAGCAGCTAAGTGCATCCCTTCCATGGTGTGTCCCGAGCTGACGGAGCAGATCCGCAGAGAGATTGCATCTTCACTACGTCAACGTAAAGGAGACTTCACCTGTTACTTCCTCACCGATTTGGTCACTTTTACTCTGCCCGCAGGTACTTGGGTCTTAATGATTATACCACTTTTTTGATTGGTGTGTGTTTGTGCGTGTAATCTAACCTCTCCTCCTGTTTATCCCTTCATCAGTTTTGCTTTATGGGCCTGTGCTCGCAGAAATATATAATTTTTCCTGTAGCCTCAATAAACAGCTCAGATTAAACTCCCACCCCAACAACCAGTCTTAATATTTGTCATGTCTGACGCTGAATGTTACTGGCTCCATTTACTCTGGAAGCAAACAATGGGGGAATAATTACTTTTGTGCTCTTTGGGATTCTATTCATGGCTTCTTTGTAGAGTTTTCTTCTACACAGTATAAATGTCTAAATTGTCAATGTGTGAACTTGAATGTAAGAATAGGACCCCGCCTCATTGCACAGCATTGCTCAGAGAAACATCAGCTCGTTCCTGTGGCATTATGTCTTCACTGAAATGACATGCACTTTACTTTTAAGAACACCCACTGTTCTGATCTAGTCCTGCTGCTGCCCATGGGAGCAAAGATTATGCAGCCTTCGCATATAAATTAGAATTTTTGTGTGTGCGCGTCTAACGCCAAGCATTTCACTACAGAGTGAATTTGGCCCGAGGCCAGCTGCAGGGCACTCGCCCTCTCGCTTTGTCTGTTTGTGTCTCTCTTGCTCGCAGACAAAGCCAGTGCCATTCACTATTGAACCAGAGAACAGCCACCAGTGTTCTGGCTTTGTGTGTGCACAGTTCAATACACAGAGCTTGTATTTACAGTGTGCCATTGACAAAATGCCATCCAGTGAAGAACATCCCCTCTGTGTGTCATTACTGTAGCATTTATGTTGCCCTCGGCCTTGTCTGCCATTAGGTTTTCATGCTCGTTATAACCTATCTTTCCCATGTTTCTCTGCAGATATAGAAGACTTGCCGCCTGCTGTCCAGGAGAAGTTGTTTGATGAGGTGTTAGATCGAGATGTGCAGAAAGGTACTGAAGATGTCATTCTTTACATCCTGTGTCATATTCTCAATCTGTCCAGTTGCATGTTTTCAGCCATTCACGTCCTGCAATAGAAGGGACTTTAAACTAGCATCTTCCCCGCCTGTTTGTCTTCAGTCAGCTCCCCGCCTCCTGCTTCGTCTTCTTTTCCTTCTCTAATTAGGTTAATTGAGCTCACTAGTTTCCCTCCCACATACTTATCTAATGACACTCTCCCAGTGCAGCTTTGTGTGTGTGTTTTGTGTTTCAACGAAGATATAAAAGGAGTATTATGACCCATTTAAGCCACCTTAAAGTGGGCTACTGGATAGAGCTGCCTTGAGTTTCTGGTGCAGAATATGATTGCATATTCAGGGAGATGTGTTTAATGATATTTCACGATGGGAAGAGAAATGCAGAAAAGCAGGTTTTGCATTTTGCATTTTGTCCCTGCGGAAATAGCGGCTGCAGCAGCTGCACCTCTGAAACGCTTATCTGTGCAATCCCATGCTGAGTTTTTGGAAACACAATTTTTTGTTTTTGATTCTTTTCATTAAACTATCAAATATATTAGCTGAGAAAATAAATGCAGCCAGTGTAAAACAAGTTCCTCTTTTGTGTTTTCACTGCAACAACTTGATTAATTATTGTCTTGGAGTCCTCAACACCCAATCGCACATTTATATCTGTTTATAGAACTGGAAGAGGAATCTCCTGTTATCAACTGGTCTCTGGAGCTGGGGACACGCCTGGACAGTCGCCTCTACGCCTTGTGGAACCGCACTGCCGGAGACTGCCTGTTGGACTCTGTTCTGCAGGCCACCTGGGGCATCTACGACAAGGACTCTGTCCTCCGCAAGGCTCTCCACGACAGCCTGCACGACTGCTCCCACTGGTGAGAGGCTCAGCCCTACACAGTTCCTGTAGTCTGATACTTGACACTTGAAAATTTTCACAGGCTGCTCTCAGTTCATGTTGCATATTCAAAAATGGCCTCGTGTTATCTGCATAAAAACAAAGCGAGAGCAGACTTAGAACTGAAAGAAATAAACTG